GGGTTCAATCCTGACTCTGACGCCTGCTGTATATTTAGAGTTTGCATGTTCTCCCCGTGGTTGTGTGTAACTTTTAAATGTCCTCATGATAAGCCACTTTTTTGAGCTATCATTTGTGGCCAGGTTGTGCATTTGAAAAAAAGCTATATCGCTTATTGTGCCTAATCTAAAACATTTAAAAAAAGTATAGTTCAGCTTAGTTTCCATTGAAGCAAGAACAATATCCATACATTTTGTTAAAAAATGTATGTAAAGATAAAGGTGCTGCCCTGAAATTGCTTGCTCACCCTACCAGTGGCAGAAGGGCCTCCACGAGAAGAAACTCCAAAGAGCCCCTCATTCGAGATATTTGGCCTACTCTTCCATTCTGTCCAGACATTTGGGAAGAAGTGGGAGTGCCCACACTTTACCCCCACCACACCAAACCTGCTGACCGACTGGTGTACCCATTTATGCTGCATGGTAAACAGGAGCGGGAGAATTTACGAAACTTACCCCGGAATACAAGTCCAGTCGGCTGACCATTGCACCATAGCACCATCCAAATAGAATATATATTAATGAATGTATTGTTTAAACACACATGATGATGATGATAATGGAACAATGAATTCAGAAAAAGGGCAAATTCTGACGGAAATCTCACCTGCAGAAGCAGGAACAAGACTTAATTCCATATCACAATTCTGACACATTTTTAAGAATGTTCTTGTTACTCATAACCTGTGCCTACCTCTAAATATAACTAGGCTTAGTGGCATGATTGATATAATCTTGGGCAAGCGTTTAACGCACAATTAATGCAATTCATCCAAGTGTCGCTCATCTCGGAGGTTGTAACTTCCCTTCAATAATTATTAACCTGCATATTACCTTCGCATAGCCCCCCTCAAACACACCCCCCCATAGTCCCCCATACAGTACAATCCAATTAACACTATGTTTAAAACCCAGCTGTTTCAACGACTTGAGAGGGGACAACATATGGCTGGCTCAGCTAGACAACAACAACTCAACACTCAAGCAGGTGACAAGGCCACGACTCGTGACAAGGTCACCACAGTGACCCCCCTTTTGTTCCAAGTTCCAGACAGACCTAGACAGATGTTACTCCAGAGCTCTAATGGCACCGATTAATAATTAAACTAGCAGAGTTTTGCTTGTGCAACAATGTGATGCAAATGTTAACACCCTGCAGCCATACTTTGAAATTAAGATTACATATATAATGTAAACAATGCACAGCCAGGACATTTGTCATTCTATTAATTTGGTTTGCCCATCAGTTCCTTTGTAGAATGTTTAAATGTAATCAATACGCACATCATAAAGAAAGGTATTTAATTAGAGACCTGGCCTGAGAAGTGTGCTAAAATAAGAATTCATTCAGCCCAGGCAAAGCTTTTGATTAATGAGAAAGCCTTCAAACTGGCATGCTCATATTGTCTCGTCTCAAAGCTACTGTCAGTGAAAACTCAGAATGTCACAACGTCCATAGGAAACCTCAAAACCAGTTGAGAAGAACATCTGCCTAAGTGAAATGCATAATTGTATCTTTGCTCAGCGGTACAGACACATTACTTCACTGTTGTAATATCATAAGATAATGCATAATCAAAAGAGAAAGTATATATTTATTGTATACACTGCACAGATGGCATTAAATATATAAGTTCAAGCTTATGTGACTTGTCTTCTAATGTACTTATGCAGGCAAGGCTATTTTGGTCGAGGATTGTAGGCAGCTCATTGGCTCAATATGATAAGTCTGTGTGCGAGTATGAAGCCAACCCTTTGAGTTCCAGGGCGAGGTTTCGAGCAGCGATGATGTATTTTCTTCTGCCTTGGTGTGTTTGAGCATTTCTATGACTGATGGAGATCCAGGATGAAAATGATGAAAGACAGGCAAGGAACAGCAGAATGGAGGAAGCAGCTTACCACAAAATGCCTGTGCAGGAAAGTTTTCAATCAGTACATAATGCCGGATAGGACTGACATAAAATGTAGAAACGTGGACATTCACAAAAAATATGGAATACATGTAAAGTGTGGAAAATAAGCATGGGGAGATGCATACTTGGAATTACACCACAAGACAGAGAGAGGAGCATTGGAATCAGGCCACGAACACAACTCAGACGTCATATTGACCGTTGAGAAAAGAAAGGGAGCTTGGCTAAGAGACACCGCTCCAATGGATGATGGCTGCTGTAAAAACAAACTGGTGATGGAACGGCAGTCAAGGGAGAGAACATGCAAGCAAGGATGGCCGGCCACTGCATAAATGGAGCAATGAGATCAGTTTATATGCGAGCAATGAGATTAAATACGGTACACAGAAGGCACGTGAGGGTTCGCAAGGCTGTGAGGAGACCTTCATCCAGCAGGGGATAAACAATGGCTGATGATGAAGCTCAAAGTACAATAAATGCTTTATTTGTTAATAATGGAAGGTTACATTTTACTTCGTGTGGAAACAAACATTTAACTCCGTTGTGCTGGCAGGGAATTAGGTGTCCAACACTGATGCTCCACCACGTCTGCAGAGCGGTGCACGATATAATGAGCAGCAGATGGAATGTAATAATATTTATCTGAGAATTCCCTTCAATTACTTTTCACAATGGACATTTTTCAAACACGTGTTTGTCTTGTTTATGGCCTCATGCAATACTCTCTTCTGAAAGACAAACATTGCAATGAACATTCTAGAATTAAAGGGTCTAAAAAAATTCTGACGCTCATAAAAATACATTACTTTTCCTCGTACTGTAAGCCCTATTTATAAAATATAGTAAGCACATTTTACAAACATTAGATTGTTTTCACAGTATATATTTTTCCAAATAACCAGCAGCCTATGGTAATGCCTGTATCAATATTTCTTGATCACATGTGGAATGTCCTTTGGCTTCCAGAAAATACAGGCACTCCCACGAGGAAAGCCTGACCCTGGCAGTAAAAGTCTGGAATCTCAGAATACAAAGACTGGCTTTCCTTGTCCAATGTTACAAACACTCACAGTTAAGTACAGCCACACGATTCATCTGCCAGAGGGACAGCCAAATTGGTGACCAACCAGCCACGCAACCATTAAGCAATCAGCAATAGTATCTAGATAGCCCATCATCCATATGATCTGTCAGCTTGCCACCATACCGAACTCCGAAGCCAGTGAACCTGCCCAGTCAAGTGAACTGGTTCAGTCCCCTGGCCATAAGATAATCTAATAAACCAACATAACAGCCACGCACCACTTTTGTAGCTGGCCAACCAAACTATCCAGCCAAATAAGGCAGAGGGCAATTCGTGTTGCTTGTGTAGAGAGCTTTGGAAAACCTATCTGGACTCCCACACTGACTCGGGTGTGTCCAACAGCTGCAGGTCATAAAACGCCCCCACACAGAGACATACGCACGCTCTACTGATGGGATTCCTTCCCATTCGCAATTAACCTTGCGATGCTCCGCACGAAACTGTTTTATCAACACAACAATGTGGGGGGGGGGGGGGGGGGGGGGGGGGGCAGGGGTTGGAGGGGGTTCAGAACCAGTTCAGTAATCACTCGCCACTGATGCTAGTCGTGGTCGGGAATCAAACTCGGGTGTTAGGGTTTATAGCGCAGTGCGCTAACCACGGACCCCCCCCCCCCCTTTACATAAAACTCCAAACAATGGTGGAGTTTTATGTAAAGAACGCTATAAAATGTAAATGAGGAAACTTCAGAGTTCAGAATGATGTAGTCATGTTTGAAAATCATTCAATCAGATTTGACTGCGATTTGAGGTTGCTGTACTCTGGAATAATTTCGTGTCGTATTTTTCCGCTCCTCGTTAAAAATCGAAGACGCCATAATTATAATGACAAGATTACAAAACAAGCACTCTATGCCATTTATCAATCGATACCAATCGTGTTGGATATTCGAGAGGCACCAACCCCACTCACGACCGCACATCCGTCCTCGCCTGATTTGTCCACAAACAGCCAAGAAAATTCTCCCATTGTGCTTTGGTGGAGCTTCGAGATGTATCTTGTACATTATCCTAGAACTGTTTGGTTTGTTGTTGTTGCGTTTTTTTTTTAGAATAGCCTTGTCGTGTTTAGTTTGTCGTCGTTCCCCACCGCACACCTCCGATTACCACCGTTGGCGACGTAACGGTGAAGATGAAGTCCAACTACCCCGGTATCAATGCCCGTGACGATGTAAGAGATGACGCAGTTGTCCCCGCTTACGTGAACCCTAAGGGACCAGCACCTGAGTTCAAGTCCCGGCCACGGATAACATCGGTGGCGAGTGCTAATCGAAACCTCGCCACCAATCCACCACCAACAACGTCCTCTTTAAGTCCAGCGGTGCAACGACAAATGCGCTCCCACGTTGTCAAATGGCACATAAACACGCTCCCCCAACAGGCACGGTCGCGGCACCTTAACCTTCACGACGTAAACCGCTTACAACGCATAACAAATACAAATATTTTTTTCCCCGCCTATATAGCATTAGACTATTGGGATGAGTGCTGTTAGCGAGCACCTAATTAAGGGCCGGCATGGCACACTTTGGGGGTGTGTGGTTGGCCAGCAGCCACGCCTGGCCACCTTTGTTTCCCCGGTGCAACACCGCAACCAGGTTCTGCACTCATTTAAGGCAGAGTCGACCTAGGGGTAGGTCGCAAACGAGACCGGTTCAGATATTTTTGCCACCGGTAGTTTGGTGGCCGTGAGCGGGAGTCGAACTCGGGTGGCCCAGGTGCGTGGCGCAGCGCGCTAACACCGCTAGACCACTGCTCCCAACACCGCATCGCACACGCGATCATTCTTATCCCGGCCACAATACGTTTCGTCAATTAAATAAAGAATCATTTACATCACCCTTCAAAAAAACACACACACGCGCACGCGCGCGCATACACACATCTAGTAGCCACGCAGTTTACTCAAACGAGGCGTTATGAATACAACACCTCTGTTGTGGACGCGAGAGTAAGAGCACCAACCTTCTGAATGAAGTTCAGACGTTGTTTAGTCGGGGCGCGCCACGCGCAAATCCACGACCACCACCACCAGCAGCAGCCAGCAGCCAGCCCCCTCGCGAGATGCTCGCACGCGTTCTGGTGCTAGACCGCACCACCAGCACCACCAGCACCCCCGTACTTGACCGCACCACCAGCACCCCCGTACTTGACCGCACCACCACCACCACCACCGGACTTGACCGCACCACCACCACCGTACATGCGCTAGACCGCACCACCAACGCACGCTGCTGCCACTGCTCCTCCGTACGCCGACACAATCATAATAATAAGTGACGGATCGGCGTCCCGGGCACAACGCACGCGCGTGGATTCGCTGCCTGGGCTATCCCTTCTCCGTGCCCGTGTTAATCTGTAATATTTAAGCGCTGCAGTGCGGCCAGGCGGGCGGGCGGGCGCCTCCTCTTCCCAGCACCCCCCCTACCTCCCCCTTTTGGGAAGAGGTTATTCCAGCAGCAAGCAGCAGCGGCAGCAGCGTATGACAGCGTGGGTTTATCCCGAGCACGTCACAGCAGTAGCAGCAGCAGGAGGAGCAGGAGGATGATGATGATGAGTGCGTGGATCGCCTGTGTGGCATCCCCCGCTCCTGCCACTAAGCAATGCAACCCCCGCCCACTTTACGCAGCAGTGCGGGGCGGGTATCCCCCCCCTCCACCCTCCCCCTCCACCCTCCCCCTCCACCCTCCCCCTCCACCCTCCCCCTCCACCCTCCCCCTCCACCCTCCCCCTCCACCCTCCCCCTCCACCCTCCACCCTCTCCCTCCCCTTCCTCGTCCTCCTCTCCACCCCCTCCCTCCTCACTCCCCCTCCACCCCTTCCCTCCCCCTCATCGTCCTCCTCTCCATCCCCTCCCTCCCCCTCCACCCTCTCCCTCCCCCTCATCGTCCTCCTCTCCACCTCCTCCCTCCTCCTCCCTTCCTCCCCCTCCATCCCCTCCCTCCCCCTCAACTCTCTCCCTCCCTCCCTCCACCTCCTCCCTCCCTCCTCCTCCCTTCCTCCCCCTCCATCCCCCTCCACCTCCTCCTCCTCTCCACGTCCCCCCACCGCCCCCCGGCTTCGTGAGAGGTCTCTGCGACGGGCGCAAGTGACGCGCTAGATTTTGTCTTTGTGAATTTGTTTTGTTTTTAAATACCGTTCGCGCACGTTGCCTTCTTTTGTTGCTTTGAACGAGAATCTCCTCCAATGTTCTGTTTTGAATGGTCTCGCGAGTGGCATCTGTAGTGGTCATTGTACGCATGTTCAACTTTTTTCGCACCGTACGTAAGCCGACCGTGCTGAATCGGAGGTGCGGGGAGAAAGGACAACAATCTAAAACACACACAAAAAAAGCAGTTCTAAAGACGCGAGTGTTCAATCGTTTAAACACGCCTGACCTCTCACTTTCGGATGAGACCGAGAAAGTCGAAAGCAGTCCAGGCTTTGGCTTAGTTGATGCAAAAGCTGCTCGATAATATTGGTCTACATTTCCAATAGACTGATGGGCTCAGACACATTTGAACGTGGATACTCATAAATGGAGTTCTTGTTGAAATTTGCTTTAACTCAAAAAATACGAAGTCCATGCCGCAGCATCAAAGGCATCCCACGCTTTGCGCGTCTCATAGATCATAGGTGGGGGGTGGTGGCAGGGTCACACTGAGGTTTTGTGCAACGGACGCGCCGAGACAATTTCCCGTGGATGGAATACACAGCATGAGAGAAAACAGCCTGAAACAGAGATTCAAAAATTCCCTTCCCCGCCAACTACGCGGTGGATACACGTCTGTTGACGTTACATAATCTCCTCCGTTCAGTACAAGTAACGCGCTGCACGCGCATCATGATTGTTAATCACATCCTACGTGGCAGGGCTCTTGATGGATATAGTTTGTGCGCTTTTGTGTGTGTGTGTGTACATGGGACGTGTACCAACAACACTATGTAACACAATTTTTGTTCCTGGGTAGTAAGTGTTATTTCGTAATTGCTTATGCCTAAAAAGTATATAAAGTGGCTATTATTCCACACCAACTTTGCTTTTGTGACCAGGACATCGATATTTTGAAATGTACCTAGTTTCAATGAGAAAATATGCGAATTTGTACATTTTCGTTCACATACAGTGAGAAATAAACAACATACGAATCAAAATTAACATGTATTTATACTAAAGTAATACAAAAATTACTACAAAAGATTTAGAAGTAGTTTTTTGAGATTTACGATTATACTATAAATCACTTTGAATGAATCAGCCCCCCAAATGTAGTCTCCCTTCATGTTCTCGTTATACTGTCTTTGGTAGGGGCATTCAAAGTCCAGTATATCCAGGTGGAAGCGCTCGCCTTGTTCCTCCTTGAATTTATCAAGATGAGCATCAAGGATATGGACTTTGAGGGACATCCTACAGCCCATTGTGTCGTAGTTCTTCACCAGTCTCAACCAGCTCCACAGTTGTCGACCTTGTGATTGCAAAGGAAGCCACGAACCACTGCGACAAAGCTGTTCCAAGCCGATTTCTCCTTACTAGTGAGCTTCTTGGGGAATTCATTACCCTCCAGGATCTTCTTTGTCTGTGGTCCGACGAAGATACCGGCTTTGACCTTTGCCTCAGACAGATTAAGGAAGAAGTCTTGAAGGTACTTGAAGGCTGCAGACTCCTTATCTACAGCTCTGACAAATTTTTTCATAAGGCCCAATTTGATGTGCAGTGGTGGCATCAGCACCTTCCGGGGGTCCACCAGTGGCTCCCAGTTGACGTTGTTCCTCCTCACAGAGAACTGGGTTCGCTGTGCCCAGTCCTGCCCGTGGTAGTGTGCCTTGGTGTCCCTGCTGTCCCAAAGGCAAAGATAGCAGGGAAACTTGGGAAAACCGCTTTGGAGACCCACCAGGAATGCCACCATTTTGAAGTCTACGATGACCTCCCAGCCATACTCATCATACTTCAAGGCGTCCAGCAAGGTCTTGATGCTGTTGTAATCCTCTTTGAGGTGCACCGAGTGAGCCAGGGGAAGAGACGGGGACTTGTTACCATTATGGAGCAGCACGGCTTTGAGGCTCCTGGATGAGCTGTCAATGAAGAGGCGCCACTCATTCTGGTTACAGGCGATTCCGATTGCCTCGAACAGACTGGTCACATTGTGGCAGAAGCAGAGCCCATCTTGATGGGTGAAGAAGCTGCGAAAAGGTTGGTGATGCTTCCTCTGATCTGAGACTTGCACACTCTTATCCAATAAGTTCCACTGTTTGAGCCTAGACATCAAAAGCTCGGCATTGGACTTGGTGAGACCAATATCTCTGATCAAGTCGTTGAGGTATTTTTGGTTGGGGTAGTATGGGTTTCTCTCCTCAGCTCCACCTCTGAAATTGTCATCTGGATCTACAACGTCTTCCTCGCTCTCTGACTTGCTGCTCTCTTATAAAGACGGCTGCTCTTTCTCCAGAGGAGTGGGTACGGGGAGCTCATGGCAGTGTGGCACCGGGGCGATGGATGAAGGAAGGTCTGGATACGTGATAGCAGGTGCATTCTTGCCAGCCCGACGTTTGGAAGGGCCCACCATGTAGAAGTAGCAGTTGCTTGAGCGGTCAGTGGCTTTCTGCCAAATTCTTCGGATAGCGAACTTCATGGCTCTTTTCACCTCTGTACCATCCTACAAAAATACATTTATTTCACCCATGACTAATGTGTAAGAGATTCTCGCAACATTTTCACGTATGAAATAACATTGAAAATTGTAAAATATTTTAAAATTAAAAACTTTAACAATTAACATAAAATTCCGAGCAATAATTGTACATCTTACCTTCCAGAGTTTTTTGCATTGCTCGCAGGTGAAAAGAGGCACCCCGGGTTTGTCTTGATCCCTGACAGGCATGCCGAAATATGCCTTGTAGGCTTCACACATCTTAGCAGATCCTTCCACAGAGTACTTGTTCGCTCATGTCTTGATAAATTGGCCGCAGACATAGCAAAATGCGTCTGCCGGATGCTTGCAGACTCTTGATGCCATCTCAGAAAAATGCAGTTATGTATCCACTTAGCAAGCTGGAACTAAACTGAACTGGTGGGCTTAAGGACCCTGTATTTATACTATTCACTGGCGGAGCCAGTGGGGGGGGGGGGGGGGGGGGGTGGCACATGCCCCCCCAATGATCCGATCAAACCATAATTTCGATCGGATTATTGGGATTTATTGGTAATACATCGGCATTTTGCGGCCCCCACTGCCACTGTGTAGCATATTATTACGTGCCAGGGACTCTATGAGATGATAAGACAATAGTCTGAGTCCATAATTGGCAATAAGTAACGGCAAAGCAGTTATAAGTGACTCACAGAATTGTGCGCAGTTGCGTATACAGTCCACGACTTCCCTGAAGGCATCAACACCTTCAGCGAGCGCGATGCCGATCACACAACGCGGTTCGAATTCGACCCTCGATTGATGGCTGTGCCATCGCCGCACACGCGTAGAATAAAGAGCAAGGGACAAGTCCTTACTTACTAACAACTCCTCTATCATGTCATTGCTGGAGGGGTTGTCCCCCCCTACCTGAAATTCTGGCTCCGCCATTGCTACTATTTATATTACTGGAAAGTTCTAGAATGTTCGAGAAGTTACTCCAAGTTTACTCAGCACCGACTCTATCTGGAATGTTCTGGAAAATAGGTAAATTTCTAAATATCAGTGTCCTGGTCACAAAAGCAAAGTTTGTGGGGAATAATAGCCATTTTCTGTACTTTTGAGGCATAAACAATTAGGAAATAACACTTACTACCCAGGAACAAATAATAATTGTTACACAGTGCAATCATCATGGTGCGTGCAGGGTACAATGACTTAAATTTATGTTCTCGTACGTTGCGAGGGTTGGCAGTTTTAACTAAAAAAAAACCCGGCTGGCCGGATAATTCCGCACCCTGCACACCACATCCAGTATAAATGCAGTTATGGATGCGGCTACTAGACACCTCGACAGCGTAGACACGTGCCCATATACTCAAGTCAACATGCCTCGCGAAAAACGAAAGCCCTTTTTTCGCGAGCCACGCGGGGAATTAATTAACTGAAACGATGCACGGCCACGCCACGTGTCGATACGTGGGCTGTCAATATCGCAGCACGTAAATTGTATTAATGCTCATCCCGTAATGTCAGCAAAATGCATGGTGATTTATATCATGCCGGGATAAAAACTAACAAAACACGTGCAGTGTATGCGCGTGTGTGTGTGTCGAAACGTCAGTTGTACGTGTATCTACACAGATGTATACTTTGAGAAATATTCTTTGGACAAAAAACAATACATTTTCTCAGTCATATATACAGCACATGAAGAGCGCCCCCTTTTGCAATTGCCAGGCAAATATGGTATATACAGTAATGTAATAAGGCTACAATAACCTACCATCATCGCCACAACATCACATCACACAATGCTATAATGGAGCAAGCGTAATTTGTTCCAGTTTGCCTGTCCGAAATGACTGAGTTAAAACCATTATTTTTTGAGCGCATAACATTTGTGAAACAACACTATTCAATGAAGCATTGATATTTTAGTATTTTGAAATGTCGGTTTAAACAATAAAGTACGATAACAAGCAAATTTTGGGAAACATTA